TAGAAACTTGGGCCCGGGAGCTGAGAAATGAAGCCAGATGGAACTATGCCCAAAATAGAACCCAGGAGTCCTAATGCTCAGCCCCATCCTCTACTGAAACATTTTTGTTGCCTCTTCCCAGCTTTGCCTCTCAGAGTCTCCACCCCAGGTCCTAACTGGAAGTTTCTCAGCCAGAGAGAGACTCCTGGAAAGGAGGGTTAACTTGTGGCTGCATGGCATGGGTAAAGCCAGGAAAATGACTCATGCTGTAGAGAATGTGGTGGTTATGTGCCGTGGAGTCAGTTCCAACTCATAGCGACCCTGTATAAGGTTTCCAAGGTTGTAAATTTTTAAGGGAGCAGAAAGCCTCATCTTTCTCCAGTGGAACGGTTGGTAGTTTTGAACTGCTGACCTTGAGGTTAGCAGCCCAACTCGTAACCACTACGCTACCAGAGCTCCTTGCTGTAGAGAATCGGGCTGGTTCATTAGCTGGGGAGGGTGGGGTAGGGGTGGGAGACACTAGCATATTCTATAAAACTGGAATTTTCTGAATCTGGGCTGAGGTGATTAGAAACAAATTCAGGACCATGCCTAGAATTTCAGAGTCCTCTCATCTGTACCACATTACTCTTTGATCCACCACTTCCTTCAGTAGCATCCCATCTCCCTCAGTTCTGGGCCTCACTGAGTGCTGCGCTGAATTCTAAGCTCCCTGAGGGCAACCACAGGCTCTGCCCCATTCAGTACCTTGGCACCCAGCATGGGGCTTGCCACTTTGGAGTTTTGTTTTTTTTTTTGTCTGTTCCAGGAATGAATAAAGTGGAGCTCAAAAAGTGAAGCTCAACTCTCCCAGCCCTAGCCCCTCATTCCTAACAGTCAGTCTCCTTCACCACCACCCTCAGAACTGAAACTGGTTTCTGCTAAGTGGAAGCCCTCTCAGAAGTAACCTCCACCGACAACCTTGCCCTTGGCTTTCTGACCACACACTGAGGGCAATGGCCAAATGGGCTAGTTCTCCACAAGCTGGGCTGATGAGTAAGGTCCAAGCTGGGATGCATTGCTCCTCTTTCGCACCCCTTCATTCTGGGCTCTGCCTCCAGAGACACTTTGGTTACTTACATCAATTCCCTATTACTTTAGCCCATGGCCAGAAGATCAATTAGTTTAGCATAACCTCTTAGCTGATGGCAATCTGGGGAAAGGGTGGAGCTGAGAGTGGCTGGGATGCAAGGGAAAAGAGGAAACAGAGTTACGGAAAGGATGTGCGGGCATGTATGTTTGTGAGGGAAAGAGACAGACCTCAACCTCTGGACTCCTGTAACTGGCTCTCTATCTCCCCAATACCCTTTTCCCAACCTCCTACATCTAATTCATATCCTTCCTTGGGAAGGAGGGAGAGATGAGAAGGATAAGACAGGAGGGGCTATCCAAGAACCCACAGGTCAGGAAGCACTCCCTCTGTAGTCTGTGTGTGCCTTCCTCCCCCACTCCAAACATAGATCACTCAGCCTCAGGGTGGGGTGACCCATGACTCATGATGGTCCTGGCTCTCCATGGATCCTCCAATCCCTGGTTCTTCTGGGTTTCAGATGACCTCTGCCCTTCTCCTGTGTCACATACCTACCTCTCATGTCAGCATCCTAAGGTAGGAGCAAGTAGATAGCCCTAAGGGGATTTCTGTGCCACTCAGCCCACTTCCCCTTTGGGGGATTCCTGTCCCCACTCCAAGGCTCTGGGGGGACTTCTCCAGAGCCCTGCCAGGATTCCTGTCCCCCTGCCACCAGCCCCTTAGTTCCACCCAAATTTGAGAGAGACTGCTATCTACACAGGACACCCAGTCCCAGGATTTCCATTCTCTGTCCTTCCCTTCCTTCTCTTCCAGGGTCCAGAAATGATATCCTCCTACTTCTCTCTCCCCTATGCAAAGACTCTGGGTCTCAGCTGGAGGAGGGGAGGTGGCATAGGGCAGACTGGGCAACCATCTGCCGCCCCCTCCCCTTGGTGCTGCTCAACATTCCAGCCACATCTGCCGCTCCCACTGCCAGGGACTGATAAGGTGCAGCTGGAGACTGGCACCAGCTGCGACTGTGTTCACTCCCCCCCCCCCGCCCCGTCCCTGCCCAGACAGCTGAGCCCCCAGCCCTCCTCGATGGAACCCCTGCTCTGTCTTGGCCTGGCTGGTCTCAAGGTGGGGTGGGACAGTGGAACCTCAGACCCTGTTGCCCTGGCAACCAAGCATCCCACCAGAAAGGAAAGGAGATGGATAGGGAAGAAGGGGCCCTGTGGTTGAGCCTTTGGTAGCTCTTTTGGTAATTTAGGATGGAGCTACTGAAGTCTACCCAGCTGGACTGCTGTGGGGATATGCCTCCCACCGCCTTTCTGCCTCTTCAGCCCCAAAGGATTTCGAAAGCCGTTTCCCTCAGATTTAGCAGAAGCTCCCCACATTCACTCCCACCCTTCCAAGCTGACCCAGGCACATCTGGGCTGAGGATGGGTGGATTCTGGTCAAACACTCTCTGATCACCAGTTTATCCCCTGTGGTAGAGCTAGATTCATAAGTACATCTGGGGGGCACTCTAGGCCCCAATTATGGAAGCTGGAACATACCTTTTGGGTGGAGAAGAATGGAAAGGGACTGCCAGTGAGGTCAACCAGAGAAGATAGAGGGAGGAAGAGGGTCTGAGAGGAATGGATCTAGCCAGTTTCAGGGTCAGGTCTTTGACATGGGTTGAGAAACAGGGAAAACCTGGTCTTCCCTGACAGCTAAGAACCAAGAAGTGCCACACTTGGGCCTATGTGTCTCTTTGTCCTTCCATCACCCAGCCTGAGGATTACTCCAGCACATTGTGAAGCAATTTTATCTCTATCTGGCTACTTAGAATTGTCCCCTCAAACAACATGGGCCCATCACATTTTAGTATCTCTGTTACTGATGAACCAACATGCCTGAGCATTACCATTGGCAATCCTCTTGGACACAGAACGGGCAACTGAGCACTTTCTATAGATTAACTGTATAGACTAATTGGAAGAAGTACAATCAGAACGTGCCTTAGACGCGAGGATGCTGAGACTTCATCTTACATACTTTGAACATGTATATTATCAGCAGGGACTAGTCTCTGGAGAAGGCCATCATACTTGGAAAAGTAGAGGGTCAGCAAAAAGAGGAAGACTCCCAATAAGATGGACTTACACAGTGGCCACAACCTGGGCTCAAGCATAGCAGTAATTGCGAGGATGGTGTAGGACCAGACAGTGTTTCATTCTGTTGTGCACAAGGTCACTACCAGTTGAAACCTTATACCTTAATAGTTTCCCAGACTGAGTCAAGCAATTCTCTCTCCTTCATCCAACACTACAAACCATTCAAGATAATGAGGTTTCTGCATCTCTCCTGGAGGTCCCTTCTGCCTACAGCTTAAAGTGTGTTTGGGATTGGGGAGAGTTTTTTCTTCCACCTTCACCTTTCACCTACAGTTCTACTACTCTTGAGAACATAGTTGGTGGGTGAGCCTGGGAACCCACTTGGTCTCAGTCTCTGGAGAATCCTCTGTGAAGAAGGAAAAGAGGTAAGGAAGTTGTACTTGCATCCAAGCTATCCTCCCTATCATCTTAACTCAGCAAGTAGTATGGTTGTGCAAGCTTTGTCTAGTTCAACTGACAAAGACTCATGATACAGGTTTGCAGAACAAGCCTTAACGAGACTGGGGACTCCTGTGTAATCTCTGCAGAAAAAACCACGCGTTATCACGGCTCCAACCTTTCTACACAAACAAATATAGTTCAGGTTTGGAAGAAAATGAGCAGGGAGAGAAGGGGAGATCTGAGAGTAGAGATTTGGGAATAGGCATGTTGTACAAGAGGGGCTTGGAGACAGTGAGTTTTGAAAGAGTAGTGAAAGAAACTGGAAGTGGACTCAGATTTACCAATATAGGAATTCTAATACTGAATCTCTCACTAAACAGCTATATGCAACTTATTTTATCTTGAGCAACTCATCTTACCTCTCTGTGACTCAGCCTGAGCATTTATAAAATAGACAGAATATGGTTGGTTCTACCTTACTCACAAATTTATCCAGAGGATTGAGGGACAGCCTGTCCATCCTCTCCTTTGGTGTTATTATCTATACATGGTCCCAACTCTCTTCTCCTTCCAGCTTCCACCTGGTTCTCACCCTTTGGTAGGAACCTGTGCATCTTGCTCAGGTCATCTGGCACTTCAGATGTCAAAGTTGGCCACTCCACACCCTGGGGTGCTCACTTTGAGACAGCCCCATCTGTGGGGCTTGGGGTGTTTGTGGGACATCTCTGTCTTAAGAGGCGAAACTGAACCTCCAGTTCAGCCATGACTGTGCAGCTTGAATCGTCTCCCCTCCCTTAGGCTGACTCTGTGGCTCTTGCTGGCCTGTATGTGTGTGTGTGTGTTGAGGGGGAGCGGTTTGAGTGTGTGAAGCCTAACTAGACTCTGTGTGTGTATGTACAGAAGGGTGGACACACAGAGCATGACTTATTTATTTAAGAGAGATCTTCCCTTACTTCCCATGTTTCAGAGTGCTTCTCAAACTATGTGTCTTCAGATCACCTGGGGATCTGCTACAATGTAGATTGGGATTGATTCAGTTGGGAGTGGGGTAATGGGAATGAAATTCTGCTTTTTCCTTCAGGTTCCCAGACTTGATGCTGATGTTGCTGGACCTCAGACTTCAGAGCAAATTAACAAGGCTGATTCCTACCCACCATTACTTCTGGCTCTGACACCTGTGCCCAGAAGGTATGCTTGATCAGGTACAGGGGTATGTGTATGTGTGTATTATATGTGATAGGTTCTTTCTTGCCATCATAGATGCAAGGCTGAGGTCAGGCCCTCACACCAAGCAAACAAAGGTATGGCTGTCCTGAGCAACATTCCTTCCTATCAGAGGCAGACAAAGTTCCCTCTCCCAGAGTAGTGTCTTCCTCTTCCTACTCCTCTGGGGGCCAGGCTGATGCATGGCCCATATCAGGGGACTCACTCACCACCTTGAAGTCTTCGGCACTGCAAACCTCCCCTCGGAAATGGCAGGAGAGCAGCATGTCGCGAATGTCATGCCCTGCACGGTCATAAAACTCGCGCATGTTGAAGGGCTTAGGCTTGAAGCTGCGGAAGTTGGCCTTGTCCTGCAATATCTCCAGCTGTTTTTCATCTGCCATCTGTGTGTCCGGTATCTCATACCTGGAGCCCAGGGGTGAGCAGTGCACAAATCAGCATGACTTTTGGTTCCTGCCACCCTTTGGTCTCCAGCATCCCACACCCAACTTTGGAGGAGAAAGTAAGGATCAGGCCTGGGCTCAGCCAAGGAAGGAGAGCTGGACATGTCTAGAGGAGCTGCCATAGGAAGGCTGAGAAGACAGGAGGGTCTGTAGAGGCTGCCCAGGGATTGGACATGGGCAAGAGGGAGCACAGATAAAGGGTAGAATGGGCAGAGAGATCAAGGCAGAAACTATGGCTTTTTTATATTATGGTCTCTACACTTTAAAGATGGTCCACCCCGTCCCCATCCCTGGAGTGCGGAGAAGGTCAAGACATAGGGGTAGGGTAGGGGGAAAGGAAACAAAAGTCACTCCAGAGCCGGTGACAGCATCTCACAGTTCAGGCTGTGTAGGGGCAGAGATATTTTGGATTGTGATCAAAATATTTGGGAGCAGAGACTGAGTACCCCTTAATTGGGTGCTCAGCAGGATCCCAACTCCTCTTCTGTGACTTGCAGGTTTGGGGAGGGCTGGAAGGCAGGGCTGGCTTTGATCTATGGTAGGTTAGGGAGGTGGGACTCATGCATCTCCAGGAGTAGGGCTGGAGTGTGGGTAGGAACAGCCCACCTGTTGTTGAGCAGGGCTAGCAGCTCTCCAGCGTGGTACAGGTCATTCTTGGAGACTTGGCTAAAGCGGAACTCGTTGAGGTTGCACAGTGTGACGGCGGGGAAGGTAAGCTGGGAGGCTGCCACCTCATCGAGCTTGGTGACATGGTGGTAGTGGAAGTAGTACTGCACACGCTCCGTGCACACGCATAGCAGCACAGCCAGTGAGCCCAGGAAGCATAGGGCCCACAGCGCCCGCTTCAGTGACAGCCGCTCATAGGAGAAGATGTGGGCCAGGCCGTGCAGTGTGGAGCTGCTGGCAAAGGCCTGGATGCTCACGGGCTGGACGCCACCCACCTCCTCCTCCTCGGCCTTCAGTTCCATCCTGGTCAGGGGGACCCTGGGGGAGGGGGGGAGGAGGAGTCTATCATTGTCCTGGGATGGGGTCCCTCCAAATGCATCCAGAATTCCCTGTCTCCAGAGGTCACTGCCTCTGGGGCAGGATACTGCCCTGCGGTGTGAGCCCAGAGGTGCTGCTTGAGAGATACACTCCCAGGACAGGGTTCCTCCAAATGCAGGGGTAAAGGGTAGGGGTCAGATCAGGCCAAGAGAATTCTCTCCCAGAAAAAAGCTTCCCAAGCCAGGGGAGTCATCAGAGGAAGAGAGGGAAGTCCCTATGTTCCCACATGCGGGCAGGCAGAGGAGTTCCCTCCAGATGTGGGGTTACTCTGGGACAGGAATGTCCACCCCATCCTGGAGACATAAACTCCCCTAGATGGGATGAACCTGGGGTCAAGAGTCCTTGGTCAATGGTGTCCCTGGGACTGTCCCCTCCGTTAACTAAACCTGGGCCAGAACCCTGCCCCCAGGGAGTGGGATGCATCTGGGGAGGGGCCTAGCCTGGGTCCTCACCTGCGGGTGTCTCCAGTTCTCATGTCGGCGCAGGCAGTATGTGTGTATGTTTGGGGCGGGGGCTAGGGGTGGGGTGGAGTGGACCCGAGGTGGACCGAATGGGGTGGGGGGGGGCGGTTCCCTATGACAGCGAGTTGTCCCCGCCCCGGACGCAACCCCCACCCCCACCCCCAGCCCAGCTTCTCTTCGCAGCCAGATCCCCTCCACGGCCCGGCCCTAGCCCCCCGCCCCAACCACCGCGCCGCCCCAGCAGCTGGGGAAAGCCAGAGGGGAGAAGAGATCCGGTGCGGGGTGCTGGGGAGCCGCGCGGCCAAAGGAAGGGAAATCGGAGACCCACCTGAGGGGGCTTTGGCAAGCCGGTAGCCGGCAGCGGGTCCTGGGGCGCGGGCCGGACGCGGGCTCAGCGCCGAGCCGCCGAGGGGCTCAT